TATATATACGTAGCTACCGAATATAACTCATTATAAACTGTAAATAAGTATCTTGTTCTTGAAAAACAAATAATTCTGGAAGAAAAAATATTGTTATTAGAAAATAAATATTGTTTTGGATATATATATATATATATGCAAATATTTATTTTTTAATCACTCCTGTAACAAAATTCACATTAAAATAAAAATTACAATTAGGTTGAAAGTAAATCAATGCATTTAAAGCCACAGATCCAAACCTACTAAAGTAATTAGCCAATAAGTAGCTTAATCAACGATCCCCAATCTCCAATACTTGACCTATATAAAGAAAACTAACTCCTAATCCTCTATAGCGCCAAAAACAAAACGCTTAGAACTGCGTGAGATAATTTCAAAACATATCCCACAATGCCTCAAATGAATTGTTCCTTTATCAACCTTCCGTACACCATTTTAACTAAAAATTACAATTAGTTACAAATACAATGGTGTAATAAATTAATCTTACTATTATTTGTAAGTACACCAACACACGTTAATTACAATCAATATTAGTCTTAGATATAAATAACCACCACACCTCAATATAATTAGTAATACCTGGGAATAACCAGCACGCCTCATTATAATTAGTATGATCTGTAAATAACCACCACACCTCAATATAATTAATATTATCTGTAAATAACCACCACACCTCATTATAATTAGTATGATCTGTAAATAACCACCACACCTCAATATAATTAGTAATACCTGGGAATAACCAGCACGCCTCAATATAATTAGTATTATCTGTAAATAACCACCACACCTCAATGTAATTAGTAATACCTGGGGAATAACCAGCACTCCTCATTATAATTAGTATTATCTGTAAATAACCAGCACGCCTCATTATAATTAGTAATACCTGGGAATAACCACCACACCTCAATATAATTAGTATTATCTGCAAATAACTACCACACCTCAATATAATTAATATTACCTGTAAATAACCATCACACCTCAATATAAT